AGTAGGGTTGGGTACTGAAACGCGGTGCCAATAGGGAACCGGTTCCAACGTTAACGGTAGTAACCAGACCGAATAAGAACGAAAATTTCGGTGCCTGATTTCGGTGTCATGAGGCGCACACACACAAAGTCTATCACTCGCTCCCTCTCCGCCGTGCACGAACTATACGGTTTGGAGCACAGTCTGTTCCGCTTTTGCTCGCTCACTCTAGATTCTGGGAGATTTTAACTAATTTGCGGGCATCAGGGAGTCGTTATCAATATGCACGATATTCCCGGAACGTCTGATAGCGAGGGGATTAATGAAGATTCCGAAGTGTACAGATTGTCTGAAGCCTATATAGAATCACGCCAATCTATTGGCTGATGGCGCGGGCGTCTTCTTGAGGCTCTTACGTCTTCATGTTATATTAGCGGGTGCATTTCTCTGCCGAAAAAGGAAGCTTGGAGTTTGGCAGCGAACGCAGAGTCTCGTTCCCTATTCAGAGAACATGGGTCACACCAGTAACCAAAGACGTTCTCTTTCATAGGTTTACTCAAAGCTGCGTAGCTAAGACGCAGTGGGAACGAAATACCAAACTCGCCAAGCTAAGCGCTGCGTAACTAGTACAATGATCAGATAACATACATGACTGGTTAAAGCAGACAAAACATGGGAACCTGTAGCCATGTCGATATTAAATTACCCTGGTAGTTATCTCTATTAATCTCCAGTATTATGTGAATTTTTATTTTATATTGGTTTATATTATTATTACCAAATGTTCCTTGTATTTATATTGTTTAAAGATTTAAGTTAATATTGTGTCCAGTGTCCAGTACCGTTTCAAGAACCGTTTAGGCACTGGAACCATTTAAAAAATATCAAGTAGGTACTGGTATTGGACAAAACCCAAACGATACCCAACCCTAATTCTTACTTTATAGGGTGCACTGCGAGAACACAGTAAACACAAAGAGGCTATTTGTTGAAATTTGAATCTCATAATCTAAATGCAATTTTATCCTGCCAAACATCCGAATAATGAAGTGTTGAATTGAAGATATGAAAAATGACTGGTTCTTGAAGTATTGTATTTTTCTTGATATTAATAACATGGCAAATACAAAATACTACAATTAGTAAGTATCTAAAGACTGCAAATCAGTCAAATAAAATACATATTCTTTTCAAAAAAAGTCATTATCGAATGATATTTAGATATTAGATATCTATTTCAAATAACTATATCTTAAATAATTATTGTTTAATTGCAAGTATATAGAAAAATTTTGTTTAAAAAAAATTCTATTGTAAATTATAGACATTTAGCTAACGGGTTAAAAGACAAATGTCAATAAAATTCGATAATTACATTACACACAATTACATTAAAAACTTTCCTTCTAATACAAATTTATATTATATCTCAATATAGAAATCTCCTCAACTGCTATGTTACTGTGCTGTGTGTATTTTGGTTTATCATGTTTGTGTTGACACAATTACTGACTGCAATCATTTCATGTTCATCATGTTAAACAAACAAGATGATTTCATTTTTTAATTAGGTTCACTGAATTTGTTCACTGAGGCACAGGCACTGATTAAATGCTCTAAAAGGAAAATGAAAAGCGTAATAAAATGTGGTAATGGCGTCATTTGCAGTCAGTCAGTGTGTTTTTGTTACTCACACCAGCCCCCGTCCATATGTGTGCCCCTCGCTGCATTGTCTGCCCTGTGCATAATGCATTATGAAATGTGCTTGTTTACAGAAAGATCTCCCAAGTGTCCATCTTATAAAGCTAAAATCTTCTGTGGTAATTACTCGGCACATGGCCTTTAATACTTTAAAGATGAACATTCAACATTTATGACTTCAGGGACATGGATCTGGTGCAAGGAGGGGCCGTCTGGGTGATGTGTGTGTGTGATAGCTTGTGTGAGGGCCAGTGTTGTTTTGGTTTGCTAAAACTATTAAAAATCAGTAGGTAATTGAAATAAATCTGAAATAAAATATAAACATTAGATGTATAACTTAAACTGGTGACAAACAGAAATAAGTAGAAGTACTAAAATTACTAAAAAACTCAAAATACACTGTATGGAGAAAAGTATTGGGACACCTGACCTTTGCTCCAACAGGGACTGTAATGACATTGTATTATAAATAATATACATTATAATGGAGTTAATCCCCCGTTTGCAGATACAACAGCTTCCACTCTTCTGGGAAGACTTTCTACAAGAGTTTGAAGTGTTTCTGTGGGAAATAATTCCAAAATAACATTTCTCATATGATTTTTAGGGCTGTGAAACGATTAATCACGATTAATCGCATCCAAAATAAAAGTTTGTGTTTACATAATATATGTGAGTGTGGTGTGTATAATTATTTTGTATATATACACACATATGCATGTATATATTTAAGAAAATTGTGTTATTCATGTATCAAATATTCATATTTATGTATAATATACATTTTTTATATAAAGTATACATGCAAATATTTCTTAAATATATACATGCACGTGTGTGTGTTTATATATACAAAATAATTTTGCATATACACACACATTTTATTTTGGATGCGATTAATCGCGATTAATCGTTTCACAGCCCTATTTTTTTGTTTTCAGTTTGAATGGACAGGCCATCATGCTGTCAATATACAGTTTTATCTGAGGTGCGATAATTGTACGATAATTAAACTTTATGATGCATTTGGCAATGTAAACCAATACCATTCTGCTATTCATTTTACACACTAAAATATGGATTATCTTCATATTCAGCTGACAGATTTCCTTTTCCCAATTTATACAAGAAGAGGGAGGAAGAGATAAAGAAACAGAACAGCCTTTCATTTCTACCATACCATTTTTCCACTCCAATTATTTTTTCATTTTTCTCTCTCTATTTTTTTTCCTTTAGAGACATCGGAAAAGCCCATCTGTTGGAGGCTGATTACACATGTATTTGTTTTGAGGTGCACGTACACCGTCTTGTCACGTCAAGCGGGCCTGTCAGGAGCTGATGGGCCAAAATGCCATCTCCAATAATGGCCAACTCATCTCTAGACTAACAGTGTGTGTCTGAGAAAGGGGAAGGGAAAAACAGGGAAGAGACAGACAGAGGAAAAAACACAGAAGGAAAAAGACAGTGCGAGAATCAAGAGAGGATGAAGCAGATGATGGCTGGCAGTGGAGTGGAACTCAACAGGGCAAAAAAAAAAAAAAAAAAAAAAAAAACGAGGTATGGGAAATAAAGGGATGAGGTCAGAACAGAAGAGTGGGAGAGAGAGAGACTAAAAAAAGCTGAAAAGCATTCAGGTGTGCCTGTGGATATGAGGTTTGGTTTGTTTCTGAAGGGGGCATGCTCTCTCTGTTCCAGTTTTCCAAAGCACTCTATTCTCTCTTCCCTCCATCCTAATGGGGTTCCAATGAGGCATCAAATGACTTCTACCATCACACAATCACCATTCAATACAAAGAAAGCCCCATCACAACAGCACCAGTCCTGCATCAAGCACATCTCTCACAGGGAGGGATGAACATTGGTTTGTTCTGTGCATGTATATGAATCAGTCCCGGCTCCAGGACACACGTTTATAATTCTCAGGGGGGCTTGAGGTTGAAATTGTATTCATGGGGTGGGGGTGTAACTTGAAATCATCATTGCACCCCTTGACGGTGGGCATGACATGAAAATCTATATTTTTCACGGGTGACTGGGAAAATGCAATACTTTGGGGAGAGAAATACATATTTTTTCTTTTTGCTCCACGCTTTTGTATGAAACAAGATAATCTAATCCAATAGGCAAATCCACATGATGCTTTTGACCAATCAGAATCAAGTATTTCAAAGAATTGCATAATAAATTTGTCACCATGAAATCAAAATTGACAATATGGCAGTATTGTATTATAAATGATTTAGGCTGCCTGTGCCTAATATTAAGTTATTTATTTATTTTTTGTTATATTTATTTATATTCCTTGAATCAAAATAATGTACCCTCCCACTTGCAGAGACATGTCCTTTTCTCTGATGAATTGTTTAATGATGTTATGGCGAAACAACCTGTCACTCACAGTACATCATGGCAAAATCAAGATCAAAATCAATTTTAAAATCAAGTATCGCCCTACAGTTTGAGTCTTGTTCGAGTTACGTTACAACAGGGAAGAAAACACATTCATATTCGCAACTTCCGTTTCATTTTGACTTTAAGAAACAAAATAGCCTACTTCCCAGCTAACAATGACCTGGCGGACCGCCAGCGTTTTTTGGGTGGCACGAAGTCAGCGGCTTGACACGGTCGGACCTCCGGCGGCACACCTTCGGCAAGCCGACCAATATGAAAATGCGGTCGGTCTGCCAGCTTTTTTTGGGTGGCACGCCACCAGCGGTTTGCCGCGGTTGGTCCTCCGGCGGCACACCGTCGGCATGCCGATTGTATGAATTAGCTATAGCGTAAATGTGTGTGCATTTGTACATTTGAATGAAATGGACTCCTATTTTATTTATTTAAAATGGATGTGTGAAGCGCTCAAGTTACTGGAGTAAGTTTAATTTTTTTTTTTTTTAAAGACTGCTTTACTTGGTTATTGTATGACTTTGGTAGGGTGACCAACAGTCATGTTTTCCCGACATGTCTTCCGCGTCCGGTCCTGGCCGTCCTGGCTGTTTTTTTTATTTTTTATAAAGTGCATAAAACATGTCCTGGTTTTCAAAAAACTGCTCTACAGCAAAATATAGATGGACAAACAATTGAGGATGAGGACGAAAAATAGGATAAAGAGGAAGAACACTAAAGATTTAAATATATTTTGTTAATTCGTTTTTATAAGTTTGTGAGAGCTATTTGTAGGCATTTCTTATAGTATTATTATTTATATATTTATTTTTCTAATAGGCCTACAGAAGAACATTATTTCTCTCATTATTTCATTCATTATTTTTGTTATATAATTATTTTTTGTTAATAAATTAAGTTATGTTATAAATCTAGATGTATATTTAAATGCTGCGTGCGTGCCTTGTGTTTTGATGCGCGTGCGCGTAAACATTCGAGTCGCATTCAAAGACAGGAGCGCGCGCGTTGCGCGAGCAGATGGAAACAGAAAACGTCATCAACTGGTACACAGCAAAACTAGCGTCTCTCGCTGTTTTCACTGCTTTCAGGTAAGTTAAGTTAACAAAATCACACAAATAATACATACAAACGTTAATGACACCTCTCTTACGTGTAATTGATACGTTTCTGTTGAATATTTACCTTATAGAAATGGTTTTGTGTCTTCGAAAAAGTCCGTTAGCATCCCAACCGTTTTCAGAAGAGGTAAGTTAACGTTAAGTTACGTTACACTAAAGCTCTTATATTTTGGATTTTTAACCCCATGTAGAGAACAATTTTTGATAGTTTTGTGTTGCTGGTAATTTATCAATGGGTGATTGGAAGTAAGCTAATTTATTTAGCCAAAAATACGATGTTATTAATCAGTGACGTCACTTAACGTTATAAATATTAAAAAAAGGTGATTTCACGAGAAAAAAACCTCCACAATATAAGGAGGATTCTGTTTAATCATGATAGTAATGTCATATGCATTTATTTCATAATATGTATACTTTCTCTTTTCTGCATTTCATTTCTGCTCTAAAGTTAGCTTGCTTCCTTGTAATAAACCCTATGTTCTATTGTAAATCCTATGTAACATTGATGGCTCTGTGACACATGTTATTTTCTAAGATCATCATAAATAATAATAATTCATTACATTTATATAGCGCCTTTCTAGACACTCAAAACGCTTCACATAGAAGGGGGAATCTCCTCAACCACCACCAATGTGCAGCATCCACCTGGATGATGCGACGGCACCTATATTGCGCCAGAACGCTCACCACACACCAGCTTACTCGTGGAGAGGAGATCATGCTGGTGTCCTGCTGAACCCCCTCCACAGCTATAAACTCTACTAGTAAGCAAAACCTCAAACATACTGTGCACTACTGTTCAAAAGTTGGTTCTATAGGATTTATGCTTTTGAAAGAAGTCTCATACTTAACCCCAGGTTTTTTTTCAGTGAGATTGTCCTTGATAAGCCTGTAGGCTAAATAATCAGCTAAATAATAGACAGCAAATATCATGTTATAATGGTCATAGTCATACAAATGGGCTACATGCACGCATAAGTTCAGCATTTGACGCAAGGCTGCTCTTCGGTTTCCGGTTGGGGAGATTTAAAGCGGAGGAAAACGAGATTGTGGCAGAATCTTACTGTGGAAGAATTTACTGTCCTCCCGTCTTTGAAACGAAATTTAATATGTCTAGATGTAATTTTATATATAGTTATGCTTATTTAATATAATTAAAAAAAGAAGCATAAACACAATGAGGGGTGTCTGTTTTTGTGATTAACATTTCTTTAGTATAACCATAGAGAATAAAATCTAGTATAGATTCTCGGTATAGCATTGGACTCTACGATCGGCAGAAGTAATCCAGCATCCTTAGAACTTAAAGGGTTCGTTCACCCAAAAATGAAAATTCTGTCAGTATTTACTCACCCTCATGTTGTTCCAAACCTCTGTGTGTTTATTTGTTTTGCTGAACACAAAGGAAGATATTTGGAAGAATGTTTTAATCTAACAGATCTCATTCCCCATTGACTACCATAGTAGGAAAAAATACATACTATAGTAGTCAATGGAGAATGAGATTTGTTAGATTAAAACATTCTTCCAAATATCTTCCTTTGTGTTCAGCAGAACAAATAAATACATAGAGGCTTGGAACAACATGAGGGTGAGTAAATAATGACAGAACTTTCATTTTTGGGTGAACTAACCCTTTAAGTGGAAATACCGCCGTCGACGTGCATAGAGCCCATCAATTTAACAGGATAACAGGATATCATATCATGGTCATTCGTATTTTTATTTTATTTCTTTAGGTGTGTTTTAAAATACGTTGGCCAACGATACAGACACCATACTATCCAACTCAAAGGTATTTATTTATTTTTATGCATTTTTTACTGATGAATAATGAAATTCTTTTCACTTTTAAATGCTGAATTCAGGGGGTCGATAACTTTAGGCACACAAGTTATTTTTCACAGATATCTGTCCAGTTTACTCATGGCTCATACTCTTAGCCTTTAAAATGTTTGAATTTATATTTGCAATGCAATATCAGGGGGTAAAGATGTCATTAGAGTTCTTAAGGTATGGCTATGTTCTTGTCACCAGATGAGATGTAATCGTTTGACCCTGTCATTCTTCAGGACAAGATCTTGATGGCATCCACACTCAGTACATGACGGAAGGTGAGTTTCACAATAGCTATATCACTATCACAAACCAAGAGACAGAACACAACAGGCCCATCCCAACTCACCCATGCATAGGGATGGGTACTGAAACCCGGTATTAAACATTAAACGTTATCGAACCGATAACAGATCCTGCTGACGGTACTAAAAAAATAACACACACTGTCTATTATAGACATTGTCTTGCAAATTCTGTGAGGATTTGGAGTGGTGTTTAAACAGTCTTCATACAACATGTGTTCAGATGGTTCTTTGTAATTTTGTATGAGTAGGGTAGGGAGAGGCTGTAACTCAGTTAAGACTTATTTTACATTCGATTAATTAAATTTCTGTAGCCTACCTGATAATTTAGCTTTTCTTGAAAAACAATGTATTGCTTATTTTAATTGTATTTTTCTTCTATTGCATTTTATCTATGATTCACTCCTATATATAGTAAATGAATAATCTGTTGAAATTTGTTTTTATATCGCAATATATATATATATATATATATATATAGCAGAAAAACAAAATATTCTATTGAAGTTTTTCAATAATGCGCGTGCCTAATCTTGAGCATTTAACCTAACCCTAATTTTAAATTGAACGTGGATTGAATTATATATTAAATTGAATTATAATTTGTGACACCCGATGAAATGTACGTATGATAGATTTTAGCCTTAAACATATTTCCCACAATACACGAACAGAGGAACTTTTTATGGAGAGGAAATTTTATGTTTTGTAATGTTTCTTTTGACAGATACTGTATAAACTAATTACACGTTTTCTGGGATTTCAGGAGCGATAAGAAAGTACCCAGAATGGGTTACAAGAAAGACAACAGAAGGGAGCCTCCAGGAAGTGGTTTTGCGGTGTTTGAAGGGAGCTGCTGACAGAGAAGGGGGCAAGAAACAACGACGGGAAAACTGAAGGGGTTCAAATACATTGAGTTTTTTAAAAGCTTAAAATTAAAATGTTTAATATATATATTAGGGTGTGTAACGATGCACGTATTAGTATTGAACCATTCGGTACGAGGCTTTCGGTAAGCATTTTTAAGCCAAACGGTTCGTTGGAACATTTTTCCTGCCAACCAAAATTTTGCTATTCGAAATGTAGGCACGTCGTGCGTGGCAAGCGCGCTCATAATGTAAGAGACGCTGGCATGACCACAACATTGCCCAACATCAAATGGCGAATGTAATGTAAGTGGAATGAAACGGTGGTGCGTTTCCTGATAGCATTGGTAGCCAACTATGATCACAAGTTTCGTGGTTATCAGCATAGTTCAACGAGTCTGTGTTTCGAATTGTAGGCTATAATGCTTTCAAGTAACATCACGTCGGTTTTATTTTGACATTATGAATACAAATGCTGCCCTCAAATGTTAAAGGAGTAGTTCACTTTTAAAAAAAACTTTTGCTGATAATTTACTCGCCCCCATGTCATCCAAGATGTCCACGTCTTTCTTTTTTCTTCAGTCGAAAAGAAATTAAGGTTTTTGATGAAAACATTCCAGGATTTTCTCCATATAATGGACTTTAATGGGGTCCAAACGGTTCAAGGTCCAAAAGACAGTTTCAGTGCAAACTGTTCAAAGGGCTTTAAACGACTCCAGACGATGAATAAGGGTCTTATCTAGGACCCTTAGAGTCATGACTCGAAAAAAGATTTGTTCATTTTGATGAACGAGTTTGAACAGGAGAGTCACGAACACGCATCACAGAACAGAACAAGACGAGCATTTGTGCTTATAAAACATAAACTTTTTTATTTATTTTTTTAAAGGACTGCTCGTTTTGCTTGATAAGACCCTTATTCATCGTCTGGAATTGTTTAAAGTCCGTTAAAGCTGCACTGAAACTCTCATTTGGACCTTGAACTGTTTGGACCCCATTGAACTCCATTATATGGAGAAAATCCTGGAATGTTTTCATCAAAAACCTTAATTTCTTTTCGACTGACGAAAGAATGACATGGACATCTTGGATGACATGGGGGTGAGTAAATTATCAGCAAAAGTTTTTTTTAAAGTGAACAACTCCTTTAATCTGAACTAAAATAAACCTTTCTGTATAACTACTACAATATTACATTTCATTTTGTCCAAGGAGTGGTTTTGTTTTATATACTCCTAAGAAAAGTTGAAGTATAACTCCATCTTTGCTCAAAGTAAAAAAAATGATGTTAGTTTTAATAAAAATATAATAAAAAAATTAAATCAAGGAAATTTCTCTTTCTTATTTCTTTCTTTTTGCTGTATAGAAAACATACCGAACCATGAATTGTGAACCGTTACATCCCGTTACACCCCCTAGCCTATATATACAGTACTGTGCAGAAGTCTTAGGCACACTATAGTATTTTCGCCTCAAAGAAATGGTTTTAAGCCAGTTATTTATATATTTTGTTGTCGTGTCTCAGTAGGAAATATCAGTTTACATTTCCAGACATTAATTGTAATAATCCAGTGAAATTTTTGAATGCACAAGGATTCTGACAACAGCCAATGCTCCACACGGAGGTCGGATCTCACCATCATCGAGTGCATCTGAAATTGTATGAAGAAACAGAAAAAACCTGCAAAACTAAAAACTATGTGTAATACCTGGACAAAAGCTGTTTTAAACGTAAAGGGTACTAAACACCTATTGATTTGATTAATAACAGTTAATAATAGTTAACTATTAAAGTGAATTGATAAATAAAATCTATTTATGATTATGACATTATTTTTGGAAATATTCTCATTTACAGCGTTTTTACACAAGTGTTTTTTTCACAGTACTGTAGCTTTGCAGGCAGGCACTACCTTCGAGATGTTGCCGCAGTTCTTCTGGTCTTAGTCTCTGTTTTTTCTGTTACTTCATATAATTTCAGATGCACTCGATGATGGTGAGATCCGACCTCCGTGTGGAGCATTGGCTGTTGTCAGAATCCTTGTGCATTCAAAAATTTCACTGGATTATTACAATTAATGGCACAATTAATGTCTGGAAATGTAAACTGATATTTCCTACTGAGACACTACAACAAAATATATAAATAACTGGCTTAAAACCATTTCTTTGAGGCGAAAATACTATAGTGTGCCTAAGACTTCTGCACATATATATATATATATATATATAGACCCTTATTATGTATATATGTATATACTTATGTGTTTTATAGTTTTGTACAGTGTTAAACAATATTAAATAATATGTACTATAACATAATCTTATGATTTTTCTGTATCCTGTTAATAAATAATATAAACAATATTATTATATTTCATATGTATGTATAGTAAAGTGTTAAACAATATAATTTATTTATTCATATTTTAACAAAAGTACATGTTTTGAATGTATCATAATGGTTATATATATATATATATATATATATATATATGGAAGATAGATAGATAGATAGATATGTATATGTTATTTTATGTTTATTTCCATGTGTTTATTTTGTATGTTATCCATTTGTGCCTTCTATCCAATAAAATGTAAATTTACAATGGCTATCAGCAGTTGTGTACTTTGTTTTTGATTATTTTTTGCCTAAATTGGATCTAATATAACTAGCTATTATTTATTATTATCCAGTAATGAAAAAAACAAAACAAAAAAATCATAAAATGATCCGTGGACCGACCGTGGTCCGCCAGGAAACGCTCATTATGAACCAGCGGCTCGGTAGCGGACCACCGTCGGGACAGCGGCGGCTGCCGCTGGTGGTCCGCTAGAATAACGATGAGCAAAACGCCAGCGATCCATAGGCCCGCTGGACCTATGTTAGCATAGCACGCCAAAAATGGAAATACGAATTGGCGTGTCATACACACGCTACTTCATGAGATCAGTCTGCTTTGAGAAATGAAGTGATGTGCAGCATGAGTAAAATAGTGCTTTTGACATTGGGTTAATGTAAACCTGTTGTAGGAGAGCTGCAAAATAAAAACAGCCTAGTAGGCACTTTAAAAAAAACTAATGGAAATGTTGATAGTGCACAAAACATTTTTTGATGCTTATTCAAACCTACCTACCTAGATCACTCACATCAGCTAGAAACACCAAGGGTTCACTCTAAGCATGGAGAGTCTGCTTTTAGCTATTATGCCAACAGCCGCCACTGGAACCAGCTTCCAGAAGAGATCAGGTGAGCTCTTACAGTAGTCACATTTAAATCCAGGCTCAAAACACATCTGTTTAGCTGTGCATTTTGCCACTGTTCGTCCGACTGTTACTGCGTACTACGTTTTATTTTTGATTCTAAATTGTTTTAATTATTTACTGTATTTTATTTTTATAATAATTTTTATTTTTCATGTTTTATTCTAAACTGTTCTAATTATTCTGATTACTTTTGATTATTTAATTTTTTCTATGTAAAGCACTTTGAATTGCCATTGTGTATGAAATATGCTATATAAATAAACTTGCCTTACCTACCTACCAGTATTAACTTTCACATGCAGTTACACATTAACCTACCTACCTACCTACCAGTATTAAATAAAAAAAATTATCAAACAACCCCTACAACCCCACATGTTGTTTGAGAGGGTTTCAAGAAAGATCCTCCTCACTCCTCCAAAAACAAACTCCAGCATATTCAGGTGTCAGACACGACTGGATCTTCAAACGGCACAGGGTTCTGTGGTCAGATGAGACTAAAAAAAGAGCTTTTTGGCAGTAAGCACACTAGATAGTTTGGTGGACATGAGGATAAAAAGTACCCCATGTGTACAATTTAATAAACCATTGGATCTTTAATGTTGGGGACCTATTTTTCTGCAGGAGGTCCTGGACTTCTTATTCAGATACATGGCATTGTGGATTCTATTAAACATCAACAGATAAAAAATCAAAACCTGACACCTTCTGCTAGAAATCTTATTATGGGCCATGGTTGGATCTGCCATCTGGACAACGATCCAAGACAAACATCAAAACCAACACAAACATTTGTTAGGGAGCACAAAATGAAGCTTCTGCCATGACCGTCCCAGAACCCTATAGAAAATGAGTGGTCCGAACTGAAGAGAAGCACAAACATGGATCTGGGAATCTGAAGGATCTGGAGAGTCTGTATGGAGGAATGGTCTCTGATCTCAGGTCAGGTGTTGTGCAAACACATCAGGCATTATAACAGAAAACTCAGAGCAGTTATCTTGGCAAAAAGATATTGCAAAAAGGTATTTAATAAAAGGGTATGAGTAATTGTGGCCAACGTGTTTTGGAGAAAAACATTTATTTTATAATGTGATCCAACATTACACATTAACAAACATACCTAGCAACCAGTATTAACTTTCACATAGTTACACATAAACCAACCTACCAGTATTAACTTTCACATGCAGTTACACATTAACCTACCTACCTACCTACCTACCAGTATTAACTTTCACATACAGTTACACATTAACCAACCTACCTACCAGTATTAACTTTCACATGCAGTTACACATTAACCTACCTATCAGTATTAACTTTCACATGCAGTTACACATTAACCTACCTACCTACCAGTATTAACTTTCACATGCAGTTACACATTAACCTACCTACCAGTATTAACTTTCACATGCAGTTACACATTAACCTACCTACCTACCAGTATTAACTTTCACATGCAGTTACACATTAACCAACCTACCAGTATTAACTTTCACATACAGTTACACATTAACCTACCTACCTACCTACCAGTATTAACTTTCACATGCAGTTACACATTAACCTACCTACCTACCAGTATTAACTTTCACATGCAGTTACACATTAACCTACCTACCTACCAGTATTAACTTTCACATGCAGTTACACATTAACCTAC